GGAACACTAAATAAATATCTATTTGAAGAATAAATGAGTGGCTGAAGTGAAGAGATATGGGGAAATCATGCATTCCCTGTGGAATAGCATAAAATACTTATTTTAATACCATCATACAAAGTAAGAAAAATTAGCAGCAGAATGTTTGGCCATATTGTCTTTGTAACATAAAATCATAAACACATATGTCCACAAGCAGCATTATCAACAAAAACAAAGCCCAGCAAATTACTGAACTAAGATCAACTATTTCAAGGTTTTCATGTTCACATTTTCTTGAATCTTGTTAATTTCTTGTCTTCCTTTCACTCTTGCAAGTACTAAAGATCTTACTAAAAAATTTCTTTTTATTTTTTAAGCTTGATGAATAAAATCTCTCTCCGTTGCTCTTATAGCTTCTTCTCTTCTCCTTTCTCCAAGGCTCTCACCTCTTTCCTCACCCCTTCCACCTCTAGAGACATCGCAGTTAGCTTAGATTTTCCAAAATCACAACCAGTAAGCTAATGTTTTGTCTTGGCAGCTCAAAATCTTCTGGGACAAGGGAATACAATAGTTGGGCTACCATCTTCATTGGGAATGGCAGAATTCAGTATGAATGAAATACAAATTAATATCTGTGGGAGATTGTGTTATTGTTCCCAATTATTCACTTCCTCTCTCTACAAGAGTTAGACATCCACGCATTGCTATGTGACTTGCCAAGACCCCTTGTGAAAAATCTATATTCCCTGCCCCACTGACGTCAGGCTTGGCCTGAGACCTGTTTGGCCAATGGAATCTGAGCAGACATGACATGATAACCCCTCTGAACACAGTGTTTCCATTAGCTCTCTTTGTTTTTTATTTTTATTTTTTGCTTCTGCTATGACATTAGTATGTTCCAAATAAATCCTGCTCCTTCAGCTTTGATTCATGTGGAACAAACCCATTGCCAGCTTGCAGCTTGGTAGTCTGAAGCCAGCCCACAGCTGGTGTGTAACATGAGTAAGAAATAAACCTTTGTTTTTGTAAACCACTGACATTTGTGGGCTAAGGTTGTTTGTAATCATAGTATGATTTAGCAAAATCTTATTAACTAAACATACAAATAATTATCCTTCCACATTGGAAAGGTTACTTTCCTTCTCTGAGATTCGATTTTATTCCAGGTAAGGTTAACTGGTTGGGCCACATGATATCTTATTTCCATTCCTAACCTTTTAGAATTCTAAATCAATATGACCAGCTTCCTTCCCCATCCTGGGCCCACAGGGTTCATTCATGACATCTGCCAACCTCCTGCACTCTCCTCCACATTACAATCTTTATTCTAACTTAGATGTCTACGACCAAATAGGGAGCCAACATAATAGAGTAGAAAGAACTATGGTTTAGGGACACAGGCAGACTCAGTTCTAATCCAATTACCACCTCTTTTACTATTGATAAGAGGTAAATTTATCTAAACTCTTTGAGCTTTTCCCATCTGTAAAATGGGAATAATATTAGGATTGTGATGATAAAATAAGATAATGCATAAAAAGTTTCTAATACAGGACTTGACAGCTAGTAGATATTCAATAAATGTTAATTCCCTTCTTCCTTTTAAATGCCCTGAAGGGTTTCTTCACCCAAGAAAAATCTCAATTTAATGAAAATCAATATCCTAAGTTAATGAAAGAAATTCATTTCCAATATTAGCTGTAGATAGAGGTGGTGATGTTAGAAATTCCCGAATCCCATGCATTAAACATATGGAGGGATATGGCACCTATCTCTTCCACTTTCCATGGTCAAGTTTATTGTAGCTAGCGTAGGGAGGTATGATTCTATCACAGGGATAAACAATGAATAGTTGGGACAATAATTCACTTATCACAGGGGTGTGGTCCTAAGGAAGCCTAGAGAACAAAGTCCCCTCACACTTCCCCCAGACACAACTCTGCTTGCTTGAGAGGAATCTGTGCATGAGCTTACAAAGCTGGGGGTGGGGGTTGTACTGAGGAAGCAATCGCATTGTGTGGAGCTGAAAGGCTGGCTTTGGGTATTTTTATCCCCTCGATCTGTTTAGGGTTGAGGACCACAATACAGGAGTTGCTTTGCTATTTGACAAGGTACCTGAAAAACCTGAAATTTCTCCATGTGATCTATGTCTACTTTGACATTTTAAAAGAAGTATTCTTTGTTTAAATGTAAATTTAAAAAAATAATAAAATGTAAAGCTTAATTCTTTGAAGTTTTTTATAGTTTAGAATATTAAGGTTGGTAAGGAGATCTTAAAGTTTGGGGGCTTAACTATTTAAAAAAAAAGTGAGACTCTCTACAGCCCTGACAAACTTAGCCTCCCCTTTATAGATATCTGGAGATGAGGGAGCTCATTATCTCACTGCCCAAAGGACAAAACCAACTTTTCAACTAATAGAATTCTAATTTGGAGGAAGTCCTTTCTGATGTTTCATTAAAACTTGCCTCTGTATAGCTTCCATAAAGTAATCTACAAGGGGGACAATATAAATGTGCATCTCAGTCAGGGTTCTGGAAATAGAAACACCTCCTTGGACGCCAGTTAGTAATGACCTTCAATTACAACTCAAGTTGGCCTCTGAGCTTATCAGAAAGTATCGAGTTCAAGTAAGAGTTCTGGTAAATGATATTTTCTCTATTTTCTTACACATCCTATGATATTAACCATCTTATAGTTTGGAGCTCTCAACCCCTGCATGGCTGATGCACTCCTCAATCTAGCTTGAGATTTGACCAATTATTTCCTGTGTTCTGGGTTACTATAGTGAATGTGTCCATTTAAAAAAACTTATAGTACTTGCTCTTAGAAACAGATTTTTAGACATTAATTGCCAAGCCAGTTTCCCTCATTCTATATTTATATGTTTGACTTTTATGAGCCTCAATATAGAATTTTACATTTAGCCTAGTTGACATTCTTTTGTAAGATTCAATAAACCAATTTAATTTGTCAAAAATATTTTGAATTTTTATTCAATTATGTCAGTATAGGATATTTTAAGCAATTGAATTGCCTCATTGACAAAGACTTGGAGGTGGAAATTTGATCATTATATTTGGAAAATTTATTTCTTTAAATTCCAGAGCTGTGCTATCTAAACAGCAGTCGTCACTAGCTTTGTATGGCTTTTGAACATTTAAAATGTAGCTAGTTCAAAAAATGCATTATAAGCATAAAGTGCACGCCAGATTTCAAAGTCTGAATACCAAAAAAAAGTAAAATATCTCATTAACAATTTTAAAAAATATCCATTATAGGCTCAAATGATATTATTCTGCATACCAAAAAAAAGTAAAATATCTCATTAACAATTTTAAAAAATATCCATTATAGGCTCAAATGATGATGTTTTTTGGGTAATGAAATACATTATTTTTATTTTTTTCCTGTTTCTCTTTACTTGCTAAAATGTGGCTAGTAGAAAATTTGAAGTTACATTTGGCTCATATAATATTTATATTAGACAGTATTGCTCTAGAAGTTGAAGTGACCTCTAGCTTTAATTGGATATTTAGAGCAAACTTGGGTTGAGCAGAGCCAGTGGAAATTTTGTGACAAGGCCAGGTGTACTGGTATATGAATGAGGTGTGAGTGCAAGGTAGTGTTGGGCAGCTAGAGCGCAGCCTATGTAAGGTAGCATAGGTGTAGGAAGTCTGAAAAGGGGCAGAAGATAAGAGACAGTGTCTAGCAAGGCAAGGAGAGGACACCCAAATTGAACAGCAAATTTTTACAACTCCTGTGCAATATATTATCCCTGCTGATGTCTGGGTCAAAAGAGTGTTCATGTCTCACCTACAGCTTTCCTCCAAATATGCCCACTTAGAAAGGTCTAGGTTTCTTCAGCCTAGCCTGGTACCTCCTTAACTAAGTTCAGAGGGAGAACAGAGTATGTGGAGATTCGTGCCTTCTTGTGTCTCCTCCTCTCTATCCAGGCAGAGCAGTCATTCACCATTTGTGTGCTCATTGTGTGGTGAGCACGCTGCCTCTCACACACACATGAAATGCAAAATAAAGCTAGAGCAAATGGAGCTAACCACCAGCATCCACACGTCTGTGTTGAATTTTCAAAGTATGATGGCAACCAGGTAGACATTCACACTAAATGTTCCACGTTTCCATTAACTGTTAACTCCCGCGCAAAGAGGAAGTATTAGTCCCCTTCAAGATGGGAGCCGTGAGTGTGGCAGAGGTTTCACACTGGCAGCCAGGAGGCTGAGCATGACCCTCAGACATATTTTGTTTGGCTTTCACAATGTTTTAAAAAATTGAGCCAACCTTGGAAAATCAGAACTTCTCACATTAAACTCCAGAGTTTGAGTTTCTTTTGAAAACCCTGGGGCCATGTTCCCACAGGGTAGTAGTGGCCTGCAGTAGAGTAAGGGCAGTCCCAGCACCCCAGGCTTGTGACCACCCTGGCCAGGATCCCTGGGCATATGCACAGACATCACCAAATCCACATGTGGGAGTTGTCTAGCTGGCTCATGTAATCATGGGTATTCACTACCCCTAGATCTTCCTGATTGGAAAGCCAGGGGGAATATGCCATGAAGAAAGTGGCATGATTGAAGATTTTTCATGATGGATTTATTGCCAGGGAGGTATAAAACTTAGGGGAAAGTGGAGGTTCTAGAAGGGAGAAATTAGGGTTCTGGATGCTGCTCCTA